TTTTTTACATAGATAGGTATTTAAATTTTACATGTTAATTATTATTATTAGACTTATATTTCAAGTGTTATTTCTGTAGGTACCAAAATAATTAATAATTATAATAATAAGCTGATCATTATTTATCGCTGTAAATTATAAAAGAACAATATTCTGCCTTTCCTTCTAACTTTAAAAATTCAATACATTGTCACGGACATACATAAATGTAGGTCCTTACGACCATCACTACATAGGGAGACCCCATAAATCATAAATAGTAGAAATTAAGGAAATGATATAGAAAGGAATCATTAAAATAATTAGAAAAACACTGTCTCCTTTGGAAGTAGCTACTCCACCGAAAGAAAAATTAAAAGAATAAAAAGTTATTAGAGAAAACATTAAAAAATATAGATAAAGAAATAAACTCAACAAAAAGCATAGGAACTAGAAGTCAAGTAGACATAAAGCATATAGAATTAAAATTTGAAAGAAAATCTAGGGAAATAATTGCAGACTCAAAGGAAATAATTAATAAAACAAATTTCTCGTTAGAAGAAACAATAAAAATTGTACCAAAATGTAAAACAGAACAGGATATTTTTAATTTCATAACTGCATGTGATTTAGCGGTAAGCACAGTAGATGAAAAACGTGTACCATTTTTAATAAAATATATTACGACTAGAATAAAAGGGAAAGTATTGGAATTAATAAAATATAGAGATATAAGAAAATGGGCATACGTAAAAAAATATTTAACGGACTCTTTCGAAGCTCAACACACAGCATCATCGCTGCAAGTAGAATTTAAATAAAAGCATTAATAACTTATATAATAGAGTAGAAAATTTATATTATAAATTGTGCAATGCAAGTATAATAGGGAAACAAAAATCAGAAATACAACCAATTTATGATACTTTTAAAGATTTAACTTTATCAGCCTATATTACGCGATTAATTAAACCATTATGGTTAAAACTAGAAATCCAGACTCACTTGAATTAGCAAAACAAATCGCAAAAAATAAAGTTAGAATATAAAACAGAAAAAGAAACATATGAAAGAATAAATATAAATAAAAATAATAATTACATTAATAATTTCAATAATAATAATAATTACAATAGTTACAATAAACAAAATTCATATTAAAATAATAATAACAGAATGGTAGGAAGAAATAATATTATAATAAAAATATTAAACGTTGTTTTATTTGCAACCGAACAAATCATTAGGCAAATGAGTGTTGAATTTAATCAAATAACAGCTATAATAATAGACCGCCGAATAAAAATAATTACACGCGACCAGTCACTAATTATAACTCTACAATAAACACTTATAATTTCTGTAAGAAAAACGGGCATATCGAAAGTGAATGTTTCACTAAACAAAATGGAACAAACGTAATGATGAAAATAATCAGAATAATTCGGAAAACGAGTCGGGATCGAATATGGTTCGTGGAGCACATTCGATAACCCAAATAAAAGCCGCGGAACTACCTATCAATATTGCTTCCACATCGTCTCAGATATAAAAAATAAACACATAGAATGTTTTTCAACTGCTAGTAAAACTAATACTTTAAAATTGCTAGTAGATACTGGGAGTGAAATAAGTTTAAGGCCCCTGCAAACCCTATTAATTTTTCATCAAAACGACCTTAGCGACTGACAAAAATTAAAGTACTTCTAGTGGTTCGATTTAAAAAATGTAAAGATGTTTGAATTGGTCAATAAGTCTACTTTGCATCAGTCGGAGCATATTTTTTATATTTTAGATATTTTTTAATATATTCAATATTAAAAATGTACAAATTTTTTAAAATGTAAAATATTTATTCTCGTCAAGCATTTGTTAAAATTGAAAAAGTGCTCCGACCGATGCAAAGTAAACTTGTTTACCAACTCAAACATCTTTACATTTTTTAAATCGAACCAATAGATTTTAATTTTTGTCAGTGCGACAGCTATTTTACGTTCATAAATTGGTTTTGAATATTTTAATCTAATAGCTTAAAGTGACATGTGCATGTGCGGCGTGCCGCGTGCGTAATATATTTAGCCGACCGGCGGGCGGCGACCACTACACTAATCGTTTTCGTTATCGGTATTTCTATGAATGACGATAAATTATTGACAAAAATACTAAATATGTTGGTAGATTACGGATTATACGATGAGCATAAACATTATTTTGTTTTATTTTATGATCGTTGCCCTGAGTATACGGAAATGTTGTAATTTTCAGTTGCTTTTAGGAATAGCATATACTTCACCTTAATTTTTAATACTGTATTTCAAATGGGGGGGGGTTCTGACCCCCAAAACCCTCCCCAATGGATACGTCACTGACTGGTTACATAAATAATCCAGAGTTAGGCGCACAAAATACAAGTAGCATCAATCAAAAATTCCAAGGTGAATCGCATAGGACCAGTGGATTAGCATTCACTAGGGTCGGGTCAACTATGAGAAATGGGGTATATAAGAGAGTCTCGAACAGACCAATATTCAGATGTGTTTTAGTCCGATCTTAGCAAGCACCTTCACGTCAGTTTAATTGTTAATTTAATTAAATATTTGTACTTAGAAATAATTTCAGTTGATAAATGTTTTTGGACTTAGAATAATTTTGTCAATAAATAGTAAATATTTAAAGTCTAGTAATTATTTAATAAACCTATCCTCTCATATTCACTCTTCAACGGTTGAACTGATGGCACGCAAAAATATATCCAAATCTTCGTCCATCATTCTTAACTTTTCGTTTTACTGGTAAGTTAAATAAAAATACTTTAGAAAAAAATAAACATTAACAAATAAAAAGATAATGTTGTTTTGGTTTATCAATAGTAATCACTGTCGAAAATCTAGCATTCGACTAGGTTTTGACGGTCGAAGTAAAACATCGAACAGAACAATCGAAACAACAGTTGAAAACAATTTAAGAATACATATATGTATACTATATAGTATACTCGTATATTGGTGAAAATCAAAACCAATACTATTTTCAACTGAACGGCGATCGAAAACAGTTTTCGATTGCTTTGAGAATAGGCCCCCAGTTCAGTCGGTTATTATTCAACGTTGTTTTTGCGTCTCGCAACCACACAACGTCGAATCATACGTAAAACGTCGTACTCGTATACTCGTATTTTGTAACATTGTGTAATGCCGAAAGTACAACATTCTACGAGTAGCCGACTGCAAAATTTTGTTTCAGAGTTTAAAGATACATTTAAATCCGATGGACATGTTTTATTTTGTGTACTACTCGTATGTGGTCATTTTTTTTTTTTAATGCATATTAATGCATATTATAATGCATATTTTAAGAATTTAAGAAGCATATTTGTGTATTTTTTAGAGCTTAGTCCCTAAGTCTAGTCATGCCATTTTGTAGGTAATAACTAGAGTTGGGATGTTTATGGCTTGGCATATTTTTTTCGTTTAACCAGAATTATACCCAAACATGATATAAATTCGATTCGTGAAATTTCGATTACAGATATGCAAACTTATTTTGCATATTTTACATTTTTGAACATATAAATGCAAATATCGATTGTTTTTAGATTAAGTGAAATAATACTATTATAATTAAGTATAATATTTAAAATTGTCCATATTATAATAAATTATTAATCATTCTTTAAACTTCTTATTGTATCGTTGAAGGCCCTTCAAGTTTGAAAATATCAGCAAAATTATTGTTGTACAGTGTAATCCTAATATTAAAGTACTTGACCTATGTAAAATTTAACTCAAATAGATCGAAAAAGAATTAATATATTTTATCATATATATCAGCTGTGTTTTTTGTAATAAAGTAGTTTTAAATACACATTTGTATATAAATTCGAGTATGTATTAGTTATTATTAGTAACTATTATTTTGCATATATTTGTCGAAAAAATAGGTATATTTAATACATTTTATGGCATATAATTGTATATTTTGACATTTTATAGTGCATATTATTATGAAATTTTGGTTATTAACATTCGAGCTCTAGTTATAACCTAAAAATAATCTATTTGATATCGAATTGTTTAAAATTCAAATTTACCGCTTAAAATATTAATAAATCTTTATCATCTATAGGTGTGTTCAGGCTGGACGATTACACGTTTACAACGCATTTACAACACATACTCACATTCACGCTAATGAACCGTTTCACTATAGAAAATAAACGCATATAATCTCTTTGTTTAATGACAAGTGGAATGTGTGTTTGCCTTCCGTGAACGCTAGACTGTGTTTACTGTTATCAAAAAGTTTAATTGATAACAATTGAAATTGTTCATGTCATTGTTCCTAATAATATTTCTAGCGCATACGCACAATCAGTGGTGTATTCCTGTATTTATTTTTTTTTGTATAATTTGTAGATTACAATTTCACATTTTTTATTGAAAAATTATTAGGGATTAATTTCTATTATATTTCATTATTCCTGTTATAAAATATTACATATTTTGCATATTTATTTTAGTAAGTACATTTTACAATGAAGCGCAGAAGAACCGAGTCTGAAGGGGATAATTCATCAGATACGCCTACGTATATTATTGTAAGTTATCTTCATATTCTTAAGTAACAAAAATAATCTTTATTTTGATTTTGTTTAGAGAGGCACTCCTGAAGGTATTCTGAGAAGAATTCAAAATGTTTATGCCAACAGACTATTAACTGATGTTACTCTTGTGGTGGAAGGAGTTTCATATCCTGCACACGGCTTCATATTGTGTTTATCTAGCGATGTATTTGAGGTGATTTTATAATGATTTTTTTTTTTTTTTTTAATAATTGAATTTAATTACATCATTTAATTTATTTATAGACTATGTTGATGAATTATAAACGGAGTGATTCACATCAAGGTGTCATTGAATTACAAGAAATTCCACAATGTGTTGATGTATTTCCAGTTTTTCTTCAATATTTGTATACTGGTGAAATAACAGTTGATTTTGATATTATTATTCCGATATTGATGTTAGCTGTTAAATATAATGTTGAGGTATATAATATTTAATAAAATGTATTAAATATATGGATAATAATTTGTCTTATATATTTATTCTAGAATCTTACCGAGTTTTGTATTAACTACATGTGTAAGATTTTAACTGAAGCTGCTAAGAATGGTCTAATAGTAACTTGGTTTCAATATTTACTGTCATTAAATCATCCGAAGAAGGTCAATGTAAGTATAATTTTCCTTAATTAGATTAATAGAAATTATTATGCCAATATTAAATATAATATTATGAAATCTCAGATTTGCCAATTTGTAGTTGAGATACTTAGTTGAAGCATACAGGATTTTTCTTAAAAAATATATAAGGATAAAATAATATGGGAAACATAAGACATTGAGGTATCAGTGTAAGGTTGTAAAAAAAGTGTATTATATTAGAAATAAAAAAGATTAAATAAAGAATAACCTATATGCATATAACTTCAAAATAAATATGAATAAAATAAATTGATAAATTATAATCAAATAAGATTAACAGTTACTGCCCGATGAATTATTTTCATCTATCATATGCTTGTTACTTATATATTAGTCCTTGAAAAAACTATACTTAATATATAATGTAAATTTTCACATAAAAAAAAAGAAAATAATATTAAATCAAAATCAAAAATAAATCATAAGATAAATGAATAAACAATGCCAAAAATAAATTTCAAACCAGGTTATTTGGTGATCAAAATAGGAATGTCATAGTTCAGAGTTGTTTTATTTTAATTCATGATTTCATGACGGAATTGCATAATAGGGTTCTTACTTAATGCTCAAATAAAAATTGGTCAGTGCAAAATTCAATGCTTAGCATTGTAATGAGTTCTTGTAACTACTTTTTGTATAATAATAATAGTAGTATGACAATGATTTTGACACTTCACAATAATAAAATTAGAATATATTACCTTAAATATTTTATTGCGTGACAGTGTTCAATACTTCCAAATTCCAAAAAAGAATATATAAGAGGTCAACATAAATTATTTTATTGGGCATGAATCGATATAAGGTTTAATAAAAGAATATATACAAATTGTATGTAGTAAAGTATATTTAATTTAATTTATATAATTTTGTATTAATTTAGATTTGAATGTATATTTTATATTTTATTATTATATTTTATTTTATATTTTATATTTATAAGCAATTCTAATGTAATGAATTGATGTATTTATTTTTTTAAACTATTTATTTTAAGAGCTTTCTATCAAAAAAATGTTAGATAAACAATTATAGAAAGATTTGTAAAAAGCATATCAATAACACAATAACACACACATATATATATATATATATATATATATATATATATATATATTATTAAATTAATTAATACAGATAAATGTGTTTGAAACTTAATGATTAACAAAAAATGATAATACGTATAACAAATAAAGATAATTGATATTTTATTTCGTATATTAATGAAAATTTTGTTATAATAGGGAATGGGATGGATTGGTAAGATTAAGGTATTATTGTTGAAGAGTATGGAATGTTGGCTGAGTTGTTGGTTTTTAAGTTTATTGCTTATATATAACGGAGACAAGCTTTGGGTTGGACCACAAACTTAATTAATTCTATAGTTCATGAAATGGATATATTATATATAAGCTGTAGAAAAACTTGAACTGAAGACTTAATTTACAGAGGTTATTGAAAAGAGTACAATTTCCACTACATTTAATACAGCGTAAACAAATGTAAATAGTTTTTAGTGTTCAAGGAAGTTTGACAGTTGGTTTATTGAAGAAAATAATATATGGTAATTTGATTTCAATATGTGTGTAGAAACTGGTCTTATTTTAGTATATTATTTTTTAGTTTGCTTAAAATAAAAGCAATTTTACTTTTGTTATAAAGGTATTTAATATTTATCTTTAATGATATATACTGAAACAAAAAATCATATACATTTTTCCAATGTAATATGATTTATTAAAATTTATATTTTCCAGCTTTGTATTAATTTAACTTAAATAAATTGTCATAATTGTTTAACTGTTACAGGCCGCATATTTTTGTAAAATATGGCAAGATAATGATTGTATAAAATTCAAGCCACCATTGAATAAATTCTTTAAAGTAAAAATATTATTAATTTATTTTAAGAAATATAATGAGTTTCTTAAAGTCTTCTTCTTTTCTTGCAATTGAAGTAGAATCACAGATTATATAAATTAGTGATGATTAAAATTAGCAGTCACTGCTACTTTCACAGTGATCCAATAAATAGCAGTAGCAGTGACTGCTACTCATACATAAAATAACAGTGATTTTAACACACTGTGATGATATCACAAATCTGTTGTTGTTCAACTGTGAAAAATATTTAACACTGTGCTTTATGAAATAGTGATATGTGACAATTGCTTGTTGCTACTTGCTACTATAGTACTATATAATTGTGTGCATTATATTGTCACAGTGTAGATAAATTGATGTTAAGACTGTAGATACTAAAAATAGTGGAAAGTGGAAGTAGTTTACTACATAGAGCATAGTTTACTAATAATAAATAATTATAACATGGATTGAAATACAATGTAATATTTATATTAATAGATAATATATTTTAAATAAAATACCATTCATTAAAATTACACACATTAAAACAAACAAATTCGTGATTTTAGATAGATATTTATTAATATTATGTCACATTTACATAAGGTAAATATTTTCTGATATCACGATTAAATAGTAAATAAAGTAGTTTTCTAACTTCATGGATTACTGTGATAGTGTAAAGTAAATATGCCATAGGTACGTGAATAATAGAAAGTAGCAGTTAGAGTAGCAATCACTGTTATTTTCACTGTGATTTTTTTTTTTATCACAGTAGTAATATCACAGTGTGATAAATATTTTTCACATTTTACAATTTAGATTGTATCATAGGGAGTGCACCATCTGTATTCATATAATCTGTGGTAGAATCTAATTGCGCTTTCTTCGATATTATATGTTATTGGCTAGCCATCAAATTTCTCATAAAGTCATTTGCTCAGTCAGACCATTTTTTATTTTATACTACTTATATTACTACTCACTATTCCTTACTTGGAAGTGTGTTCCCTAATTTACACCTATGCCATCAATTATAGTGAATTTTCTATCAAACCTAAATATTCATTGAATAACAAAAAAAGCTATTAAAAAAAAAAAGTTTAATTTATTGAAAAGTCATAACATTTTGGTCAAAATAAAATAGGTTGGTTTTTTTTTTTTTTTAATTAAATAATTTAAGAAATATTTATTATTTGGTTATTAAAAATTTCATGAATCAAGTTTTTTTTTTTTAATTTTTAAATTATACTGATGAAATTTCGATAATATTTCATACTATTGAAATTTAATTCTGATAGTCAAATATCTCTCATAATAAAAAATTTTATTTTGTTAATTTATACAGAAGTATCAAGTGTTGGTAAACTTACAGATATACTGTAGTAGCTTTTAATAATAATCATATTTATAAATCATTAATGTACACCAATTTCTATAGTACTTTTAATGATTATTTTACTATTATAGGCTTGCAAAAATTTTATAAAATGGAATATTGATAAGTGTGTAGACTGTTTCAATACATTTCAATGTGATGTTCTTGTTGGACTATTACAACAATCTGATCTCGTTGTAGATGATGAAATACAATTATTTAAGTAAATATCTTAATGTTCAATATAGATTTATAAAACTTAAATAATATTTTATTTATAGATATGTTGAGGGTTGGATAAATTACCAGGCTGAAAAAAAATTGATTGAGTGTAACGATTCTGATACAGTTAAAGAATACAAGATATCCTTGATAGAAAATGTTATGTCTTATATTAGATATCCAATGATTCCTCCTCGAAGGTTACCTATATTGTTTATGGAACCTATTCTCAAAGAGCATGGACATTTTTTTATTGATAAAATGACTGAAACAATGTATTATAATATGATAAAAATAGGTATGGTATTTGAAATTATATTATTAACTTTTATATATTGTATTATTTTGTATTATATATTATATTGTATCTTTTAATTTATTTCTTTCTTCAAGAAAAACAAACAAGTGCTGATTATATACTAGCCTGTACACCAAGATTGTACACCTGTTCCCAGTGGGGAGGTGAATTTAGAGTATATAGTTATACACTTGATACCTTACTACCACTTACAAAAGAAATTACTACTAACAGATATTTGTTTGAACGATCCGAAGAAATGCCTGAAAAGGCACAATGGGTAAGTAAAATTGAATAAAATGTATTAATTTCAAATTAAAATGTTTTGTTTTGAATAGAATGTTGAATTGTTCTTGAATGGATTATGGTATGATAAAGCATTATGGACTTCTGGTAGTGATTCTCTTGAATTGCCAGAGGTAATACTAAAAAAAGTGCGAGCAACAATTGAGCTGAAATTAAGAGAATATGAAAAAAAAGTTTCATTTTATGCCCGTGTTGCCATTCTAGTGTATGGTCGCCAGATAGCTATAACTCATGTTGTTTCAGTTGTACAAAAAGTTGTGTTGTTTACCGAAGACCAACTTAAAATAACCATTGATGATTTTATGGACTATGAAGAACTTCATAGAGTAGGCGCTCAGGAGGCTTACTCACAATTTGGATACTATACCTTTGGAGCATTAAAAGTCCATATTGTAATTACTCCTGTTGCATTAGGAGTAACTGATATTCAAAATATTGCTATCGGAATACAACATGTACACTTTCAAATAGTTTAATATAATCAATGTAATTTAAGATTTTATTTATATGTTTTGATTTTTTTTCTAAATATTTCTGTAATCACTTTTCAATATCCATTAATTGTGTTGATTAATCTTACTAAACGTTTGCTTGAATAATTGTGTTTCGAAGTATTGAAAAAGTACAATATGATAAATGATGAATTAACCATATACAACTGGACAAATTTTTAAATTCATTGACATTTATCAATGTTTTATAAATTATATTATTGATATTAAATTGAATAATTTAGATCAAATAATTAATATAAATAAATCATAATTTATATATACTATAAGATAACATGGTTCCATTTGTTTGTTTAAAATAATCGTATAAAAAATTATAATTTTATCAGTCATGTATTCTATAATTTATTTATTACTTATTGGATCATTGGTTTTAAATTAAATAATAAAAAGTATGTTTGAAAGATTTTGATTTATTCTACCATATTCAAATAATTTATTTACGGTAGTAATTTAAATAAATATGCTATTAAAAAATTAAATAGTTAAAATAATAATTAAAAACCATCAATTTTAAAATTTGTGCTTCACTTTCCCTCAGAATTTTATTTGATAACTCTGCATTAATTAATTATTAACCAAATTATATCTTTTAATGATAGTTTATTAAGGTGGGAACTTTGAATTCTTATTTTTCTTAAACTGAATTAAGTTTAAAATGTATAAGTTTATAAATTCAATTGAGATTAATTATGTTTAATTTTTACATTTTTGATTGGCAAAATCAAAGAATAGTTTAATTTAATATAAGGTACAATTAAATAAAAACAAAATGATTCAGTACTAGACTCAATGTTTACTTTAAAGAGGTTAATTATGATTATTTTATTTAAAAAATATTTGCTATAAAATTAAAGATAATTAAACAAGATAATATTAACAAGATTAACAAGATAATCACAAAGATAATTAAAAGTTATATCAAGTTAGTGAGATTATTGCTATACCAATCAATTACTTGCTGAATTAATTTTGGTTATTTTATTCTTATTTAACTTACAATTAAATTGAAAAATTTTACATTTTAGCAATTATGTAAAAAAAGGTTCCCGAACCTTTTAGTTGTGCTGACCATCAATATTCGTAAAGTTTAAGTTTTTTGAAAATAGAACTGACATAAAATACAAATGTTTTTTTATTAGATTATCAGATGATTTTGCATGTATTTAATCTTTATGTCATGAAGCATAAGTATATACATTTTAATTTTAATGAAGTTTGTAGTATACTCTTAATTATAAATTTATTGTATTAGATTAAAATTATTAGATAAATTAGATAGTATTAGATAGTATTAAATAAAAGTATATTCTTAATTATAAATTTATTGTATTAAATATTAAATAATAAGTTTTGTAATTTTATTTTTATTCTGTAATTCATTCGATAAATTAATATTATAATTAATTTTATTCTTCTTTCTGCTAATCTAATTTGTGTTAAAAATAATAATATAGCTGCAATTAAAAAAATAGTAAAGTAAAATTTGTTAGGTATATTAATGTTTTAATGTTTCAGAAGCATTTTATTTATCAGATTTTAATTTATTATCAACAGATGTTGGTGCTTTATTATCGACTTGGATGTTTTATTGACTAATCAAACTTAAAACCATACTATTGTACTTCTAAGTGATATTAACTGTAAATGTTTTTTGCAATTATCAGTCAGTACAGCATCAATCACAACACTAAGTCGTGATTTATATCTAAAATCTTAATTTTATTTTATACTTGAGGTTTTTTTTATTATTATTATTTTATCATAATTTATAGTAAATATTTCTACCTATTTACTACCTATGTCCTACATAATTTTGTAAATAAATAAATTATTGTGCTTATTATAAAATATATATTGTTAGTATTTATTCAATTTCTGTAATCTTAGTAGGTGTCGGTATGTGTATTCTGTAGTAAGTAGTATGATAAAAACATCAATTTTAACCCTCATTTATATAATGTTAGGTAGGTAGTTAGGTTAAGGCTTCAGTATCCCAATATTCCAGTGTGCATGGACTAGGTTCGAATCCAACCATCCTTTCGCTATCACATCATCATGCATTTTTTTCGTTTATTTATAATTCAGGGGACATCTATGCAACATTACTGAAATGTTACGATTCTGTTAGATGTGTGATATTTATGAATTGTTGCAGGGACGTCACAATTTGATGTTAATGTAACGTCTCATATAAGATATCATTGTGGTAAAAATACGGTCCCGGGAATGTTATTCATACGTATAGGGAACGCAATTTGTGATGTTCCGTCTTTCAGCAAAACATCCCAGAAACATAGGAGGGACATTATTTTGCACAGTGGGTACAATGCATTATATTATAATATTAAATATATTTTACACAACTACAAAAGAAATACCTATTCAAGTAAATAATATAAATTGAAATACACGTTTAAAGAGAAATATTTTACATTGAACAATCCGTAAAATAAATATACAGTCGAGTCGCGATAACTCGAACCTCGATGACTCGAAAAACTTGACAACTCGAATTGTGTTTTATTTCCCTAAAAAATTCTTCCCCTATAAATTAGTTAGATATCTCGAATAATACATATCTTGAAGTGAATTTTTTTCTTCCTTCAACTTCGAGTTATCGCGACTTGACTGTATTTTATAAAGTATGATGATGAATTATTTCACAAGATAAATAAATGTATATAAATAAAAAAAACAATAACAAATTCATAATACAAAGTAAAATTTATTTATTATACAATGAATGGCGTAAAGATGTCACTATAGCTTTATTGTCCGTTATTTGAATGAATATACATTTATATTTTATTTCATTTAAATTTATAGAAAAATTATTTGATATAAGGTTGTATCCACTATTTGATAATCTATTATTTTAGAGTCTATAGTTCTTATAAATAAGGAAGTTGATTTAATAAACTATTGAACAACTAAATAGATTTCATGTTTATCATAAGGTTTTACAATATGGTTAACAACAGCAAGCATATCATTTTGTAAAATAATATACTTGTTTTTTTTTTGTACTATGTTAATACAGATATTTAAATTATGTGAAATAATATTTTCAAAAAGTATGTCATTTAATTTATAATACAAAGAAGAAGTTATATTTTCTTATGTGTTATATGCTGAAATGGTAATAAAAGTGTAGACAAAAATACTTTTTGTTTTTTTAAAATTCTATTCGATAACTCCTGAAGAGGATATCTTCCCCCTTTTATTGAATATTTTAACTCCTGTAAATAATTCTCATATTTAAAACATCCAAAATCATCAAAGCACCATGCTTTCTTGTATACAGAGGTAAGTGTATCAAGCTGTACGTTGTATGATACAAAATGTTCTCCATATAAAGAACTATATGAAATAACAAATTATCTTAATAGATCTTCAGCTAAATTAACATGAGTTTCACAAAGAATAGGACAAACTAAAATTTTAATTGCACAAGATAGCAATATAAAATGTGAATAAAATTGTTTGTTTAGTTTAACTTTCAAAACAATAGGGCCAAAGTAGAGCAGAAAAGATCTTAATTCGGTTGCTTTCCAGTATTACAATATCATCTATTTTTCTAGGTAAACGACTGAATTCAGACGGTACATAAACTCTAAGATTTATTAAATCAGTTGAAATTTGTTTTCGGGAAGTCTCAGTTAATCGTACATTTTTTTTGCCTTTAACTCAAAATTCAACCAACCTTTTAATAACACCAATACATACATTATGCATATAATCTAAGCAGACCACATCAATTATATTTATAGGTAATAACTCTAATGGACTATCTCCTTTATGATATTCTTCATTAACTTTATTCCTAAATGACTTATTAGTTCTGAGAGGGGAGTCAATTTCCAACAACACTACACGCCTTTCTTTATAGGAGCCTTCCTGTGTACAAGTAGTACAACCAAAATATGCGTTATGCCCTTTTACATTTAGGAGAAAAGATTTAGCGGGTGCATCATTAGTTATATGCCCTATTTCAAATCTGATTATATTACCATTTATTTCAAAACCATTAGGTATATAATAATGAGTTAAGGTCCATAATAAATGCATGCAAATACTGTTGAATGCATGGAGGTTTTTTTGTTCCATGATAAATTCCAATAGGAAACACCATATTACTCAATACTTGACAATTAATTATCGAAACAAGAATCGGCCATACCTGATTTGTAAAACGTTTAGCAAGATGTAGACCATCTATAATTGGTGTAAAGAAAACCACTTAAAAATTAATGTAAATAAATGTGCGCAAATTTCATTTACCAGGAAAAATAAACCGATTTTACATAATTATTCATTAGACAACTATAAAATCAAAATAGTCTCTTCTATCAAAGACTTAGGTATCATACTATCATCTGATCTTACATTTTCTGAACATATATCATATATTCATAATAAAGCGATGCGAATGTTAGGGTTTATTAGGAGACAATGTTGGAACTTCAATAATATTCAATGTCTCAGAACTTTGTATTGTTCGCTAGTTCGATCAAATATTGAGTATGGGTCCATATTATGGAACCCATCGCAATCTGGTCATATAAATAGTTTAAATAAAATACAATCCTACTTTTTAAGATATTTGTCAAATAAATTTGCTATTCATTGTACAATTGATGAACTTGCGTCAAATTTAGGTTTAAACACCATGTCTTCCAGAAGAAAATTTTTTGATATCTCTTTTATTTACAAAATATTAAATAATCAAATTAAATGTCCTGAAATTTTTGGGGAAATAGATTGGTTGGTCCCTACTTTTTACTCAAGATCTAAATTAACTTTCAATGAGCCATTCCACTCACAACTATATTGTTTTAATGGACCTATATGCCGTATGCTTCGAAACTGTAATGAATTTAATTTCGATTTTAATTTTGATGAAGAATCTAAACTTCAGCTTTTATGTCTAAGTTTCAAATAGAAAATCACCAAACTGTATTATGTAC